TGTGTGTGGTGTTTGTTTCTCATGGTGTTATGTTGTTTGTTCTCCATTGCTGCTGAAACACTGACATTTCCCCATTGAGGGACCAATAAAGTACCTACCTACCTACCCACCCACCCACCTACCTACCTATCCACCTACATACCCACCCACCTACCTGACAATCCACCTACATACCCACTTACCTAACCACCCACCTACCTACCTATCCACCTACATACCTACCTGCCTGCCTACCTACCTACCTCTCCACCTACATACCCATCCACCCACCCACCTACCTACCTACCTATCCACTTACCTAACCACCCACCTACCTACCTATCCACCTACATACCTACCTGCCTGCCTACCTACCTACCTCTCCACCTACATACCCATCCACCCACCCACCTACCTACCTACCTATCCACTTACCTAACCACCCACCTACCTACCTATCCACCTACATACCTACCTGCCTGCCTACCTACCTACCTCTCCACCTACATACCCATCCACCCACCCACCTACCTACCTACCTATCCACTTACCTAACCACCCACCTACCTACCTATCCACCTACATACCTACCTGCCTGCCTACCTACCTACCTCTCCACCTACATACCCATCCACCCACCCACCTACCTACCTACCTATCCACCTACATACCTACCTGCCTGCCTACCTACCTACCTACCTACCAACCCACCTACCTACCTACCCCCCCACCCCCCACCTACCTACCTGCCTACCGACCTACCTAACAGACTGACAGTTTTCTCACCAGGTCTTGTTTGTTGAATAGTTCTACCACAAAATAAATGTGACAACACTTTACTGATGGTAAAATGCTGCATGATGCACAGTTGATGGTGTGTGTTTGTGTAAATGTCTCACTATGTCGTGTTATCTCCTCCAGCTGGTGATGGAGTTCTGTGGTGCCGGCTCCATCACAGATCTGGTGAAGAACACCAAAGGCAACTCACTGAAGGAGGACTGGATTGCCTACATCTCTCGAGAGATCCTCAGGGTCAGTGGTTTTCAAAGCTAACTGCTAAGTTCACTGAGTGATGATAAGATGCGTGGTGTTCACACAAGCTAATGAATTTATGGTTTTAGCTGCTTAAAATGCACAAAGAGACAAAACCAAAGGCATCAGGATCTCAGCTGTAGTGCATTTATATTATTTATCTTTGACAGTTTCAGTTTTGTTTTAACTTTGCTGAAGTTGCTTTTGTTGTCTCTACAGGGATTAGCTCACCTTCATGCTCATCATGTCATCCATCGTGACATCAAGGGACAAAACGTGCTGCTGACTGAGAACGCTGAGGTGAAACTGGGTATGTGTTACCTTTCCTCTGTGGACCAGCACAGCCTGCACTGAGATGCGATGATTCCTGTGAACACAGTATTGCAGCAGCAGATCTGAGTCAGCACCATACTGGTGCCAGCTGGGGCATTTTTTTTATTACCAGTGCTGTTTTATAATATTTCACATGATTGTGCAGTTGTAGGCCTGTGTATAAAGTTATATTCTTGTGAAACCTAACGTTCATTTGCAGACACAAAGTTTTGCATTTTGAATTTAATTTTACTAGAAAATAACTTTTTATTTGATCGTTATGATGCAAATTGTTTATCCTGAGACCAACATCAGGCTTTTGTACAGCATGTCCCATAAATGCTAAATAAATACCTCAGACCTGCCTGGTCCACCTCCAGCAGGTTTTCTTTCAGTATTCTCCTGACTGTAGTTACCTGGAGGCTTTGTATTTAACTTTCTTTTTGTCTGATACTTCCACTCATCAGTCTAGTTTTTATTTCTTAGTATTATTTGTAGTCTAGTGACTTTCAGTCCTGTTTATTCCCACGCTGTGTCCCAGAGTATAAACCACAGTGAAACACTGGGGAGTTCAGCTGAAAGGAGGTAAGACAGAGCCTTGTAACAGCAGCACCTTCTGAGTCGGGACAAGAGGACGAGTCAGGGTTTAATTAACATGGCTCCCAGAGCAAGAGAATCTTTTCTTTGCCATTGGGGCTGAAATTTAAATGACCCCTCTCACAGTGTTGGTCTGTTTTCACACAGGATTTGACCTGTTTTACGTGAACTGTTCATATTCAGTGTTTTACGCCCACTGTCGGTATCCTCCCAAACTTACTGGATAATATCATTTTTATACTTGACTGGTTTTCTGACAAACACAAACACAGGGCACTCTGTGAAGGGAACAGTTTTGAACCAGTCGTAACAGATTTTAATCGTGTTTTTCTCAGTGGACTTCGGTGTGAGTGCTCAGCTGGATCGGACGGTGGGTCGAAGGAACACCTTCATCGGGACCCCATATTGGATGGCTCCGGAGGTCATCGCCTGTGATGAAAACCCTGACGCTACCTACGACTACAGGGTAAGGACAAAAACTGGACTTGTTCTTTTACAGTAGGAATAGATAAAAAAAAAAACTCATCAAGCAGAAATGACAAAGTTCACGTTACAGGCCGGGCTTTGATGCTTAGTTTTGATCAGGATCTTCTCAGATCTGAACCTTTTGTTGATGGTTCACATTTAAGTAAGTTGCATGTGTCCATCTCTGATTTGAACACTGATGCCCTCCTAAACCGCCACTCATGCAGGCTTAACTGAAATGTGAGCCACACACCTACAGGAATAGAGTTTGTGCCAATCGTGCGGTTTCCTCCCAAACTGCTTGGATGAATTATGTTCCTTCCAGCTTGACTTGATCACAAGTTTTTCCATGAATGTCCATCAAATGTGAAACACCCTCATCTGTCCACTGACCCCCGTTGCTGTTGCTCTCCCCTGTTTGGCAGTGATCAGACCTGAATCACTTGGAGGGAAATAAATTGGATTTAAATCACTTCAGCATGTAATTTGAATCTAGTGTTTGTTTTAGTGGAATTTAGTGGTGTTTCAGGAGAATTAGAAAAACTAATTCTGTAAAAAGAGCCTGGCAACTGTCAGAAACCGGATGTTGCTATTAAAATTTAACATTCATCAAGTCGGCACTTGGACAAGCTGAAATTGACAGAGCTTTCTACTGCTAGGTAGACGTAGAAACACGTGCACACAGACTCATCTGAGTCATTTTATCTTGTATCCTTCAGAGCGACCTGTGGTCCTGTGGAATCACGGCCATAGAGATGGCTGAGGGAGCTCCCCGTAAGTACACATCACACTAACCGAGTGTTGGCTGGGTGAGTTGAAATAGTAATAGATTACAAGTGACTCCACCTAACTACTGGGAAAGAATCTGGATACTACTAGCATAGTTCAGCCTAGCTGAAAACAAGTGGGATAAAAACATTTCTTTTGGACAAATAAGTGGTGGACAAGTGATATAAGACAAATGAACCACTACCTGTTTAAAGTGATCATACAAAGCACCACAGTTAATTTTACATAATTAATGTTTTAACCTCAGCTTCAGCCCCACACTGATAAACTCTCGTCACTGTTGACATTAACTTTATGTGAAAACCCTACTCTGTGACTTTGATGTGTAGGTTTGTCATCTGTCTCTCACCTCTTCTCTTTTTATCCTTCAGCTCTGTGTGACATGCATCCAATGAGAGCCCTCTTCCTCATTCCCAGAAACCCTCCGCCACGGCTCAAGTCCAAAAAATGGTGGGCTGAGTTTTTATTTTTTTATCCACTCTGTCTGAAAATGACCTGCCATAATAATGAAAAGATGTCTGGCTGATAATGTTCCACACTAAATAGGTCAAAGAAGTTCTTCAGTTTCATTGAGGGCTGCCTGGTGAAAAACTACACTCAGCGTCCTCCCACTGAGCAGCTGCTGAAACACCCCTTCATCCGGGACCAGCCCAATGAGAGGCAGGTCCGCATCCAGCTAAAAGACCACATTGACCGTACCAAGAAGAAGAGGGGCGAGAAGGGTGAGTCCAGTGGGGGAGATCGGTTGCTGCTATGAGGATGAAACTCGGAGGCAGGTTGATCCTGCAAAGAACAGCAGCTCTGATCTAAACCATCCATAATGCTCCATTAGCCATGTAGCTGCTCTAAAAAGACAAAGTGGATGTAGCTTAATGGGAAATGATTTTACATATTGTGTTACATTTTAAGTGAAATAGTTTTATTCTGCCACTTTGACTCATGGAAAAGAAAGTTGTCCCTCCTTTGTCCAGAGTGTCTCACCCTTACATACACGGTGTGTTCAAGTTGCACGATTTCAGTTTGATTTCAGTTATTTTTCCCTTCTACCCATAGATGAGACCGAGTATGAATACAGTGGCAGTGAAGAAGAGGAGGAAGAAGCATCTGAGCAAGAAGGAGAGCCAAGGTAACTATATAGTGTTATATTTCATTTAAAACATTATTGTGATTTTTGGTGCATAGTTTGCTTTGCTAGATTCTTCCTCTGTGTGCAAATTAATTTAGACCTGTCAAGGTGCCACAAACAAGTCTAACGCCGTCTTCCTTCACTATATGAAGCTGATCTCTCCTGTGCAAAACTACAAAACTAAAATGACTCCCTGCATAATAAAATTCTAACAAGGAAAGTGAAAGGAATTAAAAAATTGCATATGTATTTGTGTAATTCTTATGTTTCCTTTCTGAGGATTACAAACATAGTCTAATATAATTTGTGCACTTTTTTAAAGATATAAGCCCTGAGGAAGTCAAACATTTGTATTTATGTCCTGAACTAAAAAAGAAATGCACGTCATCTTCTCAGCTGTCATTAGCTTGTTAGCTTTGCCAAGCTAAACACAGCTCACACCTTTTCTTAGCTCCATAGTCAACGTGCCAGGTGAGTCGACCTTGCGGCGCGATTTCATCCGGCTGCAGCAGGAGAACAAGGAGCGCTCGGAGGCTCTGCGCCGCCAGCAGCTCCTGCAGGAGCAGCAGCTCCGTGAACAGGAGGAGTACAAGCGCCAACTACTGGCTGAGAGGCAGAAACGTATCGAGCAGCAGAAGGAGCAGAGGCGGCGGCTCGAGGAGGTGGGCACACAGACCTCATAAATGACTTGTCAAAGCTGGATGAATCCAAATCAGATCGACTTACACAGTCTGCTGTGGTCACACCATAAATGGAAGTGGCTATAAATCATCGGGTATCAGTCCAGATGTGCTTTGCTCATGTAATCTGCTTTCTTTACAAGTTGGGTCTTATCATTTTTTATGGATGACACTTTTGGGGGAAAAAATAGAGGTGGATATTATAACTAGGTATGTTTACCTGTCTTTCAATTTCCCCATAATTTAGTTAAGATAAAACAATATAAACTGTTTAAAGTCTAAACATTTTTACACTTGTATTGCTTCTAAAGTGTGAAGCTTCTCCTCAAGGTTATTAGCAAAACTCAGAGAAGTCCTGCCTAAAACAGCTACAACCACATTGTAAAAACTGTAACTTTGCTTGAATTCAACACCCCTTTAATTGAAAACCATGTCTACAGTCAGCGCCTGCATGAGCTGGGGGGAATGTCCTCCTCGCTCCTCTTAGAGGAGAGAAAACGTGTATAAGACAGAAGGAAGCGCAGGAGGAAGAGAAACGGAAAGAGACGATTAGAAATGTGGACAGAAGGAGACTGAATTCTCAGGAAGGAAAGGAGGAGAGGGAGAGCGACATACTGAGTTGTTGACAAAGATATGAATAGAATTACAACATATAAAGTGAAGTAAGTGTGCGGCGACTTTCAGCACATTTAAATGTGCTAAGTGGGCAGATGCTAGTTCACTCTGCCTCAAAGGTGCATGAGAGAAAGGTTTGTTTTTGCTCATGTGATCCTGCAGCAGTCGCAGCTCGAGGCTTATGTCAGAGAAATCCCACTGTATATGTGCTCCTCTGGTTTAAAGGATCCTGTGGAATCCTGAAGGCTGAGTTTGTACAAACATGACGTGTCACGACACTAAAGCTACAACCTTTGCATAACACACTGATACAGAAATCAGGGTAAGTTCCTCATGTGTCTGTTAGAGCCAGCTGTCAGACTTAAAATATTCTTGATGCAGTGCTTGAAATGTTGACATTTTAACTTCATGGTTGTCAGTTCAGCTCATTTACTGTCTGTTTCTTTGTGTCTCTGTTCAGTAAATTCAGGCGTTTATGTCCTAGACTATACTAATGTCCTTTGTCCACTGAAAAACACATCATACTGAGAGAATCCTCATTCTGATTTAAGCCTTGAAAGTCCTTGACAGCATGTGGATCTGAAGAGAGCAGCCCCCTGCTGTCCTTGAACAGATGGCCCTGAACCGAGCAGCAGTTTTTAAACTCAGAGTAGAACTGCTTCATCAACCATTCTCTGTCAATGTGACAATAGATTTTTGTGACATATTTATTTCTATAAAATACAAGAAAACAGTGAAATGTGCTCAAGGTGACGTCTTCAAATTGTCTGTTATGTCCAACAAGTGGCTCTAATCCAAAGATTTGTTTATTTACATTTGATCAGATGTGTGTATGTATTGATTAATTGACTATTTGAATATTGGACTCCTATCTTGTCAAACTGTTTTGTTTGGAACAGTGAAACTGTTCTACCTTAGTTTTATTTGGAACAGTGAAACTGTTCTACCTTAGTCTGTGAATCCTTCCATTTGGTGAAAATGATCAGTAAAATGATTTTAACATCCTACTGTAGAATAACATCTGTGTTCCATCTTATTGACTCTGGTTTGTTTTGCTGAAGAACCTGATTGAATGGATCTGTCATTTATAGCTGTGCTCTTTGTTTGACACTGAGCAAAGCGCCCTGTAAATGGAGTTAATCAGTGATGTCTTGAGTTCCCTCCACTCAGACGTTACGCACACAAAACATTTTTGTTATGTGACTTTTTGTGTGCTGTGTCTCACTAACTAATGCTTCTCAGTCAGGCTGTGCTGGTGAAAGATGTACAGATCTCACTTCTTTGAACAGAAGTTGCACGAGGATCTGGATTTAAACCACATTTCCGAGCTGTTGAAATCATGATCATTCTAAAAACTCGTGCTGCTTCTAGTTTCACGCTGACGACAAACAAACCGAACATGAATTCTGTGTCTGATATGATCAGACAATATCAGGACATGGTTCTTTTCTAACTGGCCTCCTGCATCCACTCACAGCAACAACGGCGTGAGCGAGAGATGAGGAGGCAGCAGGAGCGCGAGCAGCGCCGGCGTGAGCAGGAAGAGAAGAGGCGCATCGAGGAGATTGAGCGACGCCGCAAAGAGGAGGAAGAGCGCAGGAGGGCCGAAGAGGAAAAGAGGAGAGCTGACCGGGAACAGGTACAGAAGCACAGAGATCTCTTCAAAATGATCAGTGTTACTTACTGTTCCCACATCTGTTCCAGTGCAGTTTGCACATCTTACTCATTGTTTAAGTTGATGTGTGGAGATAAACGGTGTTCTGACACTGAACGGGTCGGGCTGTGTTTGGCTGACAGGAGTACATCCGTCGTCAGCTGGAGGAGGAGCAGAGGCACCTGGAGATCCTGCAGCAGCAGCTGCTGCACGAACAGGCCATGTTGCTGGTGAGTGTGTGGCAGCCCAGACTTCATTTTATAAAAATGACATGATGCTTTTTGTCTGATTATTATTATTATTCCTATTCTCGCTCCTCCTCTCATTCCTCCTGTCTTCATATAGTTCCTTGTTCTTTTCCCCTCGCCTATCTCAGTATTTTCTTAATGTCATTTCCATTAGTGGATATTTTTTTATGTTTCCACAACTCCCTCTTATTAAAGTTTATAATGCAGGTACTTATTATTTCTCCATTGCACTAACTTTCCGAGGGGATCTACAAAAGTCAGGGGATGTGTGAATACGTTTTCTTGAGACTTTGCTGGAGATGTTTACAGATGGTGATGTCGTCACCAGGAAACTAGCGATCCAAGGACAGGGCTTCCCCTGTTTTTATCCCAGATGTTCCGGTGTGTGTGTGACTTTATGTTTTTCCTTTTGAAAGGATTCTGTTCCTCACAGAGGATATGGGGTTAGGGTAGAACTCTATATATTCAAGTAATGAAAGGATATGACTGCTTCCAGGCTACGCACACACCATCACTTTGTCACTGCCTGCACTCCCTGGTCCCTGCAATGTCACCATTTTTTAAACTTCAGGATAAAAAAAAAAAACAAGTTTCCTTTTTGTCACACTTTCATACTGTTTCAGTTGTGTTGACATATTAAAACATTTGCTTTGAAAAGATGTCAAATAAGCCATTTTGTTCTTTTAACAGCTTCTGACAATGGACACAAATATAAGATGTTTTTGAACCAGCTGTTACTAAAAGAACAATTATTAGCCCTGACTTTGAATAACTGTAATATTTATGCATCGCCCATGAGTAGAGGAGGTTTGGTTGTGCTGAACATGCATTATATTATAATTTAACTCTATACAGACTGGAGCCAAGTGAAACAAAAAGCCTGAATTAATGAGCGGGCTCCTCCAGGATGACAGTGGCCCCCATCAATAGGACACGAGGGTTCACTGAATGGTTTGATGAGAATCAATGTTCGGCCGTTTCTGCATATAAAGATCCACATTTATATGTTCTGTAAATGCCCTTAGCTCCAGTTGATGCCTGCATCTCACAGTTGCAATGTGATAATGCTGCTTTCAGTGGAGTGCCAGCCACATCGGAGCTCCTGACAAGGAGCAGTAATGTGGAAAGGTTTTACTCCTGATACTTTACAGTAAGCACACAACGTGTTTACTTGTTGATGTTTTAATACATTGTTATGCAGATCACTTAACACTTAACTCTAAACTTCCTGTAGGTATTAATATTTTGGGACATAAGGAGTTAAATTTGTTTACACATGATCTGGAGTCCCTAAAGAATAAAGTATTACAAAACGCACTGCTGTGGAGCTGGTACAACTTGCCTGACGTCTTTCTGTCAGCAGTTTTGGTTCAACTTGACCCTTCCTGTACTCAGGAGTATAAATGGCGGGAGCTTGAGGAGCAGCGCCAAGCCCAGAAGCTCCAGAGACAGCTGCAGCAGGAGCAGGCCTACCTGCTGTCCCTCCAGCAAACCCAGAAACTGGACAGTAGCAAAACGGCCCAGCTACAGAACACCACGCTCCCACAGAACCTTGAGCCTGACAGGGTAAAACCCCCACAGACCCCTGAGCCAGATGCAACAAAACAGCCACCGAACAGTGACTGTGATAAGACAGGGTCCAGTCACAATCTCACACTGGAGAAAGCTGCAGAAGCCAAGCTACCTGTGCCTGACGTCCCAGGCCCTGCCCCTGAGCCAGTCGGAGAGGTGAACCCTCTGCTCGACGCCGCTGCCACACTGACTGAATGCATTCTTTGCTTGTGTGTGCACAGTGATGGCTAGCTGCTTTGTAGATGAGCTATGACTCGAAACACCTGTCTCTTTCTAAACTCACAAGTCTAATATTTAAACGGGTCCATGATACAAGTGTTCTCTGATGATACTGGACAAAGACTGGGAGGCCTTCTCTCTATTTACATCTAGATTTCTCTGGCTTGTTCAGTAGCAAGGAGTCAGGTTTGAAGGGGGAGTCATGAAACCTAACCCTTACCCGGCTTGATCACTTCTCAAAATGGCCACTGATACTTACTGGGTTCTCTTAGAAAATGTGAACAGCTCCTCGTCCTCAGCGAGGGCACTGCTGCTCCTCTCATTAGCCACCCTGTTAATGTAGTAATGATCCACCTCATTAGTCCTCAGTGTGACTCCACATCTCTCTCTCTTTGGCATCCTGCTGTTGTCATTTAGCAGCTGGTGGGAGGGAGGAAGAGGCCGGTGCAGGAATGGGTGCTGAGTTTACTTCACAGGGAAGTCCAGGAACTACCAGAAAATTGTTGGGATTGTTTTTAAATTCCAACTCTTTCAGGTGATGCTTATAATTTTCATCTTGCTGATTCATACAAAGTCTAGAGAGAAACTGAAAAGGCAGAGGATTATTTGGTC